CTCAAGCTTTAGCCCTTTAAGTTTTGAAGCAATATGAGACATCTCCATGATGTACTCCCTTATGTTCCCCTTACCTTTATACTTCTTTGAAATCTAGCTTTGCAAAAGCGTGCTTGTTTCAGCCTTATCGTTTTTTCGCAAAGCGTTTCTCAATTTCGACAAGGAACTCCTTAGCATTAGTTATCTCTTCGGATATTGCACCTCTAAAGGCTTCCAAAATGCCGCGCTTAATGATCATTAGACTCATGTGATTTGAGCGATTCCACTTCTCAAAGTTTCTCCTTTCATCCGTAAGAGGAGTGGGTTGCTCAATCCGAAGTGCAAGATCAAGATCCATGCAGTCAAGAACAATCAATACGTTCTCCTTCCAATCCTTGAAGTTTGTCCCATTAACCATGGGAATGAAATTGATATTAGCAGATATTTTGGTAGCAGATGAATTGCTGTAGAGCGAACAAAAATGAACAAATAATTATGCTCATATCCATATTAAATGAACAATAAATTCAAATAATGGTAAGTCTCATCTCAAGATATCTAGTGCAACATTAATACCAAGTCTTTGGATAGTAATATTAATTGCTAGTGGTACTCTCAATACAGTGATCAAACATTGACAATAATTCCTGTCAAATAATGAAACCATCTTTGGATTGGTTTATTATTCACATGGAAACTTTATAATTGTCACACATTTATCGGCATAGGTGTGTATGTAATTCGGCCAAGTATTAGCCTTCCTTTGGGCCAATTAATACCCGCATGAAGAAGCACACACACGACATCTAAACATCCCAAACAAATCAATCTACACAAAAGAGGTTACTTTGGTGACATATTGTTTCAATTAGTTTATTCAAAATGTTAGATAACTTAATTCATTATAAATGATTTACCAAATTATTTGAATTTGATTGTCTCACATAATTAAACTTTAATTATTCCTCTTAAAAGAGTCCTTAGTACCTTAATTTGAGAAAGAGAATCATTAATTTTGCATTATTAGATGCTTTTAGAAACTTTAGGGACCTAAGGGTTAATAATTCAAAACTTTAGGGATCAAATTTTAAAAATTTTAAAATTTTGGGGGCCAATTTTAATTATTTATAAACATTGAGGGCTTTAATTGAAAATTTCAGAACTTTAATAGCCCAAATTAAATAATTTTCAAAATTTAGGGGTTGAATTATTAAACCTGTAACCTTAAAGGTCCAATTTGGATGGATCAGAAACGTTAGGGACTGAAATGTAAATTTTCATTTTAAAAAAAATAATTAACCCTAATTTAAATTGCAAGCAAGGCCTGAGATTATCTTATTTTCACCTCAGCCCCCACTCAAAATCCATCCTTGAATCTCTCTCTCTATCTCTTTCTCTGCCAATCGGCAGCAGGGCGCAGCTGCACGCTGCACTCAGCAGTGCAATTGCCGACGGCATACGCGTAGCCGGCCAGATCCAAATTTTTTTTTTAAATCCAAAAATCGAAAATCAGAAACTTATTTTAGAAAATTTTAACCCAGATCTTGATCTAGAAAACTGAATTACCCTAAATTTTCTTTCAGATCTTGAATGATAATCATGATCAATATACAAAATAATGCTTTTGGTTCAACAAATGACAGATTTGAAAGATTAACCAAAAATAATATCCCAAACAACTTTCAAATTCAACAAAAATATATTCAAGGTTGTCAAATCTGAAAATTCTTAAACAAATATTGGAAGATTTTGATCGAAAAAATTAATCTGTACTATAAAAACTGTAGTAACATTAAATCTTGCAATTTTTCAAAGAATCAACAATGGAGTAGCTCTGATACCACTTGTAGGAAATCGAAACGAACCAGATTGTTGAATCTCCATTTTGAAATCAATGAGAAAACAAAATAAATGTGGAAACATACCTTGACCCATAAATCTGAGTTTTTTGAAATCAATTATGATCTTCCAACTGCTACGTGATTTCTTGAAATCCGTTCTCTGTTGATGGAGATGCAGAGAATTCTAAAAGTCACGTGCAATTGGGGACCATGACCCCATATTAAATAATTGATTATTATCTTTCAATTATTTCAAATTTGGCCCCTCATCAATTTAAAATAATCATTTCAGTCTTTACACTTTAATCCCATGAGAATTAATACACATTAATCCAAAATTAAATTTAGTGGATCACCTTATCGACTAATCCTTAAAGATAGCATCACACATTTTAATATATATACATGTATGGCCTCATACGATGGAATTTTTCCAACATGTATAACAAATAGAAAATGGCCAATGCCCACGAATTCATAGCCAAGTTAGCCGAGAAATACCAAACACATGTCGGGGAACATGGAGTGAGACTTTCTGGAGCCAGAAACAGAGAATCGCCATCGCTCGAGCTCTTCTAATGAATCCCAGAATCCTACTTTTAGACGAGGCAACTAGTGCTTTGGATGCCGAAAGTGAATATCTAGTTCAGGTGAGCACGCTTGGCTAAGCTTAAAAAGAAGTAAAAATTTGCTTTTAAGCTTCTTATTTTGTCAAAGAAAGTTACTTTTTGTACTAAAAAAAACTTGCTTATCTGGAAAAGTAATCTAAGTTCAAACGTATATCTAGTTAAGTAACTTTTAAACTTTTGAGTTTCTTAACTCTCGTGATGGTATTATTGTACCAGGTAGGATGCCATGGATGTTGCATAAATTTGAAAGGAACCATATTCATAAAATCCTTTCATAAAATCATAAATTCCATGTTGAAATCAAAGAGACAACAAAAGTGCGGAAACATACCTTGATCCATGAATCTTACTGCTTTAATTGGGTTTTGATCTTCCAATTGATACGTGATTCTCCTTCCTTTTGGTTTTCTTCAAAGTCTCTATTGATGGAGATGCAGAGATATTTTCCAAAGAAAATCACGTTCAAATTGGGGACCATAACCACTTTTAAAAATAACTGCTATTGGCAGTTATTAACTTTAAGTTATTTCAAATCGGCCCCTCATCAATTCAAAATAACACCTTCTGGTCTCTACACTTTAATCCCATAAAATTTAATACCCATTAGTCCAAAATTAAATCCAATGGATCACTTTATCGACCATATTTACTTTAAAATAGCACCACACATTCTAATAAATGTACATGTGTGGCCCCTAAGTTGGAATTTTTTTTCCAACAATCTCCCACTGGGCCAAACATGTTACATTATAAATGTGCACAGACTTATGAGCTCAAAATTGTGCTATAGTTATTAAAGGTATTTCCAAACAATCTCGTCCATTAGTTACATCGATGTAGGATCAAAGCGATTTTCGTCACATTTAGCGTGACTAAATCCATCAATGGTCACGTACACCCATACAACCAAATGACATAGATCAATTCTGAGAGTGTAGCATGGAAATTACATATTATGTGATCCGAACATGTCTATTTCCAACTGGTCCAACCTTATTTCTTAAGTGAGATCAGTACTGAACATAATAACAGAGTGGAATGAACTGAATACTTTACTTCTGTACAGAAAATATCCAAATACATAAATGTGTTCAAAGAACTAAACATATATAAAGCAATAAGAATACAAACTCCCACTAAAACATGATATCCTCAAAAAATACAACACCCATATGAGCGGTGTGCTCATGAAAGACCTTGGGTGGTAATCCCTTAGTAAGCGGATCCGCAATCATGGAGTTTGTTCCAATGTGCTCTATAGAAATCTGTCCACTCTGTACTCTTTCCTTCACAACCAGGAATTTAATGTCAATATGTTTTGATTTAGATGAGCTCCTGTTGTTGTTAGAATATAGAACTGCTGAGTTGTTGTCACAATACAACTTTAGTGGTCTTTCTATGCCATTCAGAATGCGCAACCCAGTGACAAAATTTCGCAGCCATATTCCATGATTAGATGCCTCATAGCATGCTACAAACTCTGCTGCCATGGTAGAAGAATCTATGAGTGTCTGTTTGGTACTCTTCCAGGGAATAGCTCCTCCAGCTAGCAGAAAAATATAACCTGATGTGGATCTTCTACTATCTTGGCATCCAGCAAAATCAGAATCGGAGTACCCTATGATCTCTAACTGATCTGATCTGCTATATGTGAGCATATAATCCTTTGTTCTCTTTAGATACCTCATAACCCTTTTAGCTGTCTTCCAATGATCCATCCCCTTTTGGCTGCCTTCCAATGATCCATCCCAGGGTTGCTTAAATATCTGCCTAGCATTCCAACAATAAATGCTATGTCTGGGCGTGTACATACTTGAGCATACATTAGACTCCCAATATCTGATGCATAGGGAATCTTCTGCATTTCCTTAGCTTCAAGGTCATTTTGTGGGCACTGTTTGAGACTAAATTTGTCTCCCTTAGCGACAGGGGTGTCACCTGGTTTACAGTCTTGCATGCCAAACCTCTTAAGTACTTTATCGATATAGCTCTTTTGTGACAATC